GGGGGTGAGTGGAGTTCAATTGATTACCTTTAATAGAATCGTCGTTCAAACCCGGAGAAAGTGCCCACTGCCAATTTCCTAGTTTAAGATACACACGGGCAAGGAGAGGTACATTTGAACTACCCAATAAGCTAGACTGTGAAGCTTGTTGAAGAACTGGAGTTCTGGAGAGGTCTATGGCCAAATCCTACAAAAGAGAAATTACAGAGATTATTAGAACCCCAACTGAGCAGCTATCCTTTGCATTTACCACTTAAGAAAACTTAAAGCTCACCTGCAATCGAGTGAAGGATTCTTTACGCCTATGATCCTCGCCAAGTGACCACTGGTATTTCAAATAAGCTAGAATTACTTGAGGATCCCCATGATACCGCACAGCTTCAGAAGTTGTTTCAGGATCAAACTGTAATTGTTGAAAATAAAAGTTAAACCATTATTGACAGCATAAAATGTCTACAAAATTCCACTAATATGCATCTCAGACCTGTAAAAGCTTAATTAAAGTTGATCTAGCTTGACTAAGTCTGCCACTTTTACGGCACAGAGAGGCAAACTTGATCCATGTCTCCGCATCCTCTGTGGGTGGTAGAACAAGAGACCTGACTGCCAAAAGTGCTTGCCATACCTGTAAATATAAGATTCCAAGCACTTCAACCGTAGGATGAGCAAAATATAATACCATGTTCCAAGGAAAACAAGATGTAGGCAATAGTGTGAAATCTGTTTTTGATGATGGGAATCAATATCCACTCTACATTAATAGCTGAATCTCATTCGATCATCAAATTGGCTGATTTTTAAAAGAAAATGGATGATAAGAAAAACCAGCAGAGAGAGGTTACCTCAACATTCCGCTTCGTTCCTTTTATTCGTTCATTCCACATGTTTCGAATAAGAGCCTTCCGGCCCTCAGCAATAGTGTTTCCCTCAGGAAGAGTACGGTAATCGATGACCTATTCGAAATAGCAGCAGACATTTCTCAATAGGATGATATCGTTTCAAACTGTTAGTGTAAGTCCAGTTTAAAACAGCAAAATAACATATATTGATATGTGCATCCATACCTCCTCCAATTCAGATAGTTGCTGAACGCGAACCATATTGGTGTATGCACGGTCATAACTTTCAAGAACCTATTAAGTGTAAATTTTAGACAACAGTTTTCAGAAAGAACCAAGATATAAAACTAAATAGTTTTGGAAACGTAAACATGTCAATTTCAATGTTTGCTGATATGCCTAATAGTTCTTGTAAATTATTAGTTACATCACTATTTACAGTCAACCAAATACATTGTACTTTAACATGTTAAGTGCAGTTAGCAACCAGAATATTGTTAGCTAGGGTTTCAGAGCTTCTGGGGGCTATTTTGTGCACAGGTTTGCAGGGGAAATTGATAGTTTCATTAAGTTGGTTAAAGTAGGGGAAGTGTAACATGGGAATTTAGTAGAATGAATTGTATGGGCTACTGACTATAAATAGAGGGGAGGGTAGTTTCATTTCATTCAGAATGAATTTGGGTTTTGCCTTGGGAGAGAAGTAGGGCCTCTCAAATGCCCTGCAATTTATTGAATTTAATTTTCCTGTTTATTCCATGCAATACAAATATAGATCTGTTCATCTCAATTTGATCACAGAAAACAATACAAATTCAGCAACAAACCAGCAGGATATCTGAAATTTTCTCGACGAGGAGAAAAATATTATTCAATTAATTCTACTACAGATATTTAAACCAAATTTAATGAAAGAAATAATTAAAGGAAAAGAAGAAATTCTATGCATAACACCCAAACACATGGAAAACCTACAAGGATATGATTGCATCTCACAATCAAAAGCCGTCATATTCAATAAACAGGTCTATGCTTCTTTAAAGATAGTACGCCAAGATCTATTAGCTCCAAAATATCTCCTAATCCTGTTAGGACAAAGACTACTAACAAGGAAAACAAGTAGACATCTAAACCTCACACCCACTGGAAGTACCAAAAACACTTGATCCAACTTAGGTCTCAACTCAGGATATATTCCAGAGAACTTCTGGAAGTACAGAAATTCTGAAATCGACAAAATTGTCCCTGTTCCACGAGAACGCAAAAAAAAAAAAAAAAGAGGAACACTAACTTATTGGTTTTCAGCCAAATCTAGGACTCAGCTTGAGATAAAACTTGGTTGCAAGACGTTGCAGAGGAGCCAGTATGACAGCTTAAAAGAATTTTGAGATTCTTCTGTTTATACTTCCTTCTAACTCTTTCATTGATTGCAAATTCTCCACTAACTGGTGATAAGTTGAGTTCAAGTTTTGCAGTGTTTTAAGTACGAAAGTCTTTAATGCATCAAATCCAGCCATTGCATGAGATGAGAAACTTGATGTAAATGCCTTCTCATCACCATGTGGGGTATGCAAAGAAAGTTTAGGATGTTCATCTTCTCCACTATTTGAAGCTTTCTGGAATACAAAACCGACAGCAGGAATAAGTACAATTAATATATTTGATAATTGCCATATAATGACAGATAAAGAAGTTCTATCCTCGTATCACCAATCAAACCATTCCTGACACGAGAGACTGTTATTTGGGTTTTCCAAGTTTGGGTTTTGAAGGGGGATTTAAAGAGGTGGAATTAGGAGGTGGTGGGCAAGGTCAAATTGTCGTAAAATGCAGTGTCTTTAGACATAGAAGAGTTGGATAGACGGAAGGAACGTCAAGGGTAGGATGGGTAGGAGGAGGAGTGACGTGGAGAATTAAGGGGAGAGCTAGAGAGGTTGGTAGAGATGAAGGAGATTGCTTGGCGTCAGAAATCGATGGTTATATGATTGAAAGAAGGGGACAAATGCGCCAAGTTTTTCCATAGGGTTGCTAATTCTAACAGACGCAATAATTCTATCACGGCATTAGAGGTAGATGGGGTTACTTATGAGGACCCACAGGATATTGGAATTCAAATGGTGAGATTGTATCAGAATCTCTATCGGGAACAGTTTGAGTGGAGGTCAGAGTTAGAGGGATTGGATTTTTTACTATCACGAAAGAGGATGCCGGTTGGTTAGAGAGACCATTTGAGGATGATGAAATTAAGGAGGTGGTGTTTGGTATGTGTAATCAATAGAGAATAATTTTATATATTATTACAAGGAGAGAATACACGATATATATACAACCGAGAGATCTAAATAGGGAACGAGAATCCCTGTAATTACCAACTTGTTACAAATATAATCAACCCGAGTCCCATTTAGAGCTTTGGTGAAAATATCTTCTAATTGTTCTCCAGTTTTCACATATCCTGTAGAGATTAAATTTTATTGTATTTTTTCACGGACGAAATGACAGTCAATCTCAATATGTTTAGTTCGTTCATGAAACACGGGATTAGACGCAATATGAAGAGCAGCTTGATTGTTACACCACAACTTTGCTGGTGATGAAGTCTTAAGTCCAACTTCAGTTAAGAGTTGATATATCCACATGCTCTCACACACAGACTATGCCATTGCTCTATAATCTAATTCTGCACTGGATCGGGACACAACATTTTGCTTTTTGCTTTTCCATGAAATCAAATTTCCTCCAACAAAAACACAGTAGCCAGTAGTGGATCTTCGGTCAACCTTAGAACCTGCCCAATCTGCATCTGTGAAACATTCTATGTGAGTATGTCCATAATTTTTGTATAGTATCCCACGTCCAGGAGCTCCCTTTAAATAATATAGGATTTGTTCCAAAGCTGCCCAATGGTGCACTATTAGGGAAGACATATATTGACTTACAATGCTAACAGAATACGCAATATCAGGACGAGTTACTGTAAGATAGTTCAATTTTCCAACTAGTCTTCTATACTTCTCAGGATCCTCAAACAAGTCACCATCTTTGGTAAGTTGCAAATTAGGAAGCATCGGAGCACTGCTTGGCTTAGCTCCCAATTTTCCTGTCTCAGTTAATAAGTCAAGCACATATTTTCTCTGAGATAAGAGGATGCCTTTCTTGCTTCTTGTTACCTCAATTCCCAAGAAATACTGCAACGCCCCTAAATCTTTCGTATGAAATTGGGTGTGGAGAAAGGACTTTAGAGATGAAATTCCCAAAGTATTACTACCAGTAATAACAATATCATCAACGTACACGACAAGGAGAATAATGCCGGATTCAGATTGGTTGTAGAAGACTGAGTGGTCAGACTTGCTCTTCTGCATTCCGAACGTTTCCACTGCATGACTAAATTTTCCAAACCAAGCACGTGGACTCTGTTTCAAACCATATAATGACTTTCGAAGATGACACACTTTCCCACACTCCCCCTGAGCAACAAACCCCGGAGGTTGCTCCATATAAACCTCCTCCGAAAGATCACCATGTAAAAATGCATTTTTAATGTCTAATTGATGTAAAGGCCAATTATGAGTAGCTGCCATAGAAATGAATAAGCGAACAGACGCCAACTTGGCTACAGGAGAGAAAGTGTCAGAATAATCCACACCATAAGTCTGTGCATAACCCTTAGCCACAAGACGAGCTTTAAGCCTAGCCACGGAACCATCAGAATTGACCTTGATTGCAAACACCCACTTACATCCAATAGCCTTCTTTCCTGCAGGTAAGTTTACTAAGTCCCAAGTACCATTAGCATCTAAAGCATTCATCTCCTCTATCATAGCTTCACGCCAACCAGGATGGGAAAAGGCTTCATGAACAGTTTTCGGAAGTGACAGAGATTCGAGAGAAGCAATGAAAGAACAAGAGGAAGAAGACAAGGTATCATAAGTAACAAAAGAGGAAATAGGATAAGTGCACTGACGTTTACCTTTGCAGAGGGCAATCGGTAGAGTAAGATCACTAGACACTGGATTCGAAGCCGAAGAAGAGATGGGCGCCGAACGCGCATCATGAGGGTGACGTCTTCTGGAATAGACCTAGTGAATGGGTGGTGGTGGCGTTGGTGGGGTGGGAACAACATGTTGAGAAGTAATATTAGTTGCCCGAGAAATGACATGATAAACTAACAGATCATCATCCTCCCCCTTATTGAAAGAAATAGAAGAAGTAGGAAAGAAAGGGATATGTTCCAGAAATGTAACATCAGCAGAAACAAGATACGTGTTAAGATTCGGACAGTAGCACCGATACCCCTTTTGGAGACGAGAGTAACCCAGAAAGACACATTTTAAGGACTTTGGATCCAATTTTGTGACCTGGGGGCGAACATCACGAGCAAAACAACTACTACCAAATATTTTAGGCTCAATAGAGAACAATGGTTTGGTAGGAAAAAGGACACTATAAGGAGTCCTACCATGAAGAACAGATGAAGGCATCCGATTAATCAAAAAACAGGCCGTGGATACCGCATCAACCCAAAACGGTTTAGGAACATGCATTTGGAACAAGAGTGCCCGTGCTGTCTTAAGAAGGTGTCTATTTTTTCTTTCAGCCACACCATTCTGAGATGGTGTGTCAACGCATGAGGATTGGTGTAAAATACCATTCTGAAGCATGAAAGTTTGAAAAGCATTGGAAAAGTATTCTTTGGCATTATCACTTCGCAATATTTGTATAGAAACATTAAATTGCGTTTTAATTTTTGCACAAAAGGCACTAAAATGAGAGAATAATTCAGAACGATTTTCATTAAATAAAGCCAAGTCACACGAGAGAAATCATCAACAAATGTAACAAAATATCGAAAACCAGTTTTGGACATGACAGGACACGGACCCCAAACATCTGAATGAACTAGCTCAAAAGGAAAACTAGCTCTCTTATTAACTCGAGGAACTGAACACAAACGATGATGTTTTGCGAACTGACACGACTCACAATCTAAAGACGACACACTCTGAAACTGAGGGTATAATTTTTTCAACAAAGATAAAGACGGATGGCCCAAGCGACAATGCACTTCAAACGGAGTTAAGACACTTGAACATGCAATGGGTTGGGGCACCTGGGTATCCAGAAGATAGAGACCGCCTGATTCATGTCCTTTACCAATAATCTTCTTTGTCATAAGATCCTGAAAGAGACAATAATCAGGAAAAAATGAAATGCAACAGTTTAGGGCTCGAGTAAGTTTGCTCACAGACATTAAATTGAAAGAGAATTGTGGTAAACTCAAAATGGAAGATAAA